GGTCTGAAACCCATCAGAGCAGGCATTAAACCTAAAAGCTGGTGAATCATGTACCTTGACTCCATGTTCAATGTCCTTTGCATGCTGGTGTGGGGTTGGGACCCCAACTCCTCAGGCAGCTCCACTTTCATGGCTTTCCTGATCTCCCGCCATGCTCTAGCTCTCACAGGCTGGTTTTGCACTCTGGTAGCTCTATAGATCTGGGGTCTCTGTGGTGGTCCTGCTCCCATGGCTCCATTAGGCATGGCCTTGGTGGGGTTTTTCTGTTGCAACTCTGACCTCACATTTCCTGTTAGCATCGCTCTCCTGAAGACTCTATGCAGTGAATCTGCCCCGTGTGACAAATCTCTTCCTGGGCCCACAGGCTTTTCCATACATCCTTTGAAATTGGGGTAGAGGCTCCCAAGCCTTCACGGCTCTGGCTTTCTGTGAGCCTGCAGACCTAACACCACGTGGATGCCAGCAAGGAAAAAGCAGCTGCAGTGCTGGTTCTGGAAGCAGCTTCCTGAGGTGGCCCTGGGCAGTGAGCTTGTGGAGAGCACCTCAGCTTGTTCCCGGAGACCATTCTGTCTCCCTAGGCCTTTGGGCCTGAAATGGAAGGGTTGGCCCCAGAGGCTTCTGCAATGCCTTCAGAGCCTTTCCCCCCTTCTCTTGATAATCCCTTTCTTTTGTACTAATCTTCTTAGCACCATTGCATTTTTCTTCTGAAAATGCTCTCTGCTTCTCTACTGTATGGCCAGGCTGCAAATTTTCTAAATCTTTATGCTCTGCTTCTCTTTTAATTATACATTCTGGCTTTATGTCATGCCTTTGCCACCATAACTCAGCGTAGGCTGCTGCAAGTGGCCATGCAGCTTCCTGAATGTTTTGCTGCTTACAAATTTCTTCTGCCAAATGACCTGGGTCAGCACCTTGAAGTTCCACGTTCCATAATACTTTTGGGCATGAACAGAATGCAGCCAAATTCCTTGCCAGTCTATAGCAAGTGTGATCTTTGCCTCAGTTTCCAGTAAGTCCCTTCTCATTTACATCTGAAATCTCTTCAGTACGGTCTTTACTGTCCGTATTTCTATCTTCTCACCTCCACTTAATCAGTCTTTAAGAAGTTCCAAACTTTCCCTGGTTTTCTTGTTGGTTAGCTGTGCAGGAGCTGACATAATGGAACTGCAGTTTTTGCTCAAACTCCAGTTAATCCCCAGTGGCTTCTGCTCTTTCTGGAAACTTCTACCTTATTCCTACAAAGAAATGCTCACGTTCTGCCACTCAACCCAGCCTGCCCAAGAACCTGGGCCTTGCTTTGCTTCTCCTGGTGGAAAAAGAAAGAAAGGGAACACATTGATGTCATTTTAACTTACTACTCTCTAGAAGTGATTCTGGGAAACAGTTGGTTAAATTTATATGTTTATTAAGTATTAAGCTCCTAATATGTGCTAGACCTTGCACTAGGCACATGCAAAATTGCCACGAGCTATTGCCAAAACAGAAAGACTTGTACCAAAAAAAAAAAAAAAAAAAAAAAAAAAAAAAAAAAGATGGTACCAGAAAACAAAAACTTAAAGTAAAACTAGTGGGTCTATACACCTAAAATCTGTTTGTAAATGTCTCCACTTGCTCCTTGGAAATTTTTGCCTTCAAATCTGCCTTTGTAATTTAATTTAAATCAAACTTATCTGGTACAGATGGTTTGCTAGGAAGCCACAGTAAGCATGGTACAATTTGGCGTGACTGTGAATCACCTTCTGAGGGTTTGGAACCTGCCCAGAACCTTTCCCACCGGACCACCTTTGCCTATCCAGAAAAAATCCTTGGTATTTGGTTACAGGCAACCATAATGAGCAAAATAAAGCACAAAATATCAGTGCACATTCCCTAGGCTTATTTTTTTGGTTGGTACAATACCAAGTTTAGGAGAAGTAAATCAAAATGGCATTTTAAATGTACAGGATGTACAGGGTTGAATAGCTGTTTGATTTTATCATTTCTCAGTCCCCACTGTAGAATCCTTTGGATCCAGAGCTGGTATGGTTTGACCCACCATAGCCTGAACTTGCATTTTCAAAGTTGTGAAAAGCAGATGTGATTCCCCCTTGCCTTTTCTCACTTTTTTATTTGACAAGAGATGCAGAGGCAGAGCAAGGTTAGAGATGTGCCAGCCCCCAGCACAAAGCCAACCAAGCATGGTGGACCTCATGCACTCACCGTCAACAGCTTTGCCTTCGCCTTAGTTTTTTTTTCCCCCATAGATGGAAGTTGGCCCCTTTGTTGCTCATGCTCTGATTTCCTATCCTTTTGTGGTCATTGCTAACTTTCCTAATGGAAGTGGTTGTTCTGAGCTCCAGGTTGGGGAAAACAGAAATTCAACTAGATAAAAATCCTGTAGTAATTGTGATGGGACCAATAAATTTTGGGAGGCCTTGGAAGGAATTGAAGTTTTCCCCAAAATGAGTTGTTAGGTACTGTGTATCGAGGTTGTTACACCACTGATGAACTCTGTTGAGCATATTTTCTGCACTCCTCTGTATACTGTGTTTTGGTTTACTGTCATGGATTCAGTACCCTCAGTAATAGTTTGGTTACTGTTGCAGATTTGATATACTCAACATAAGTCTTCTCTTTCTTTAGTTGTCATTTAACAAAGGTTTTGTCAATTCGGTTTCCCTTTGTCTTCCATAGGGAAAGGTTTTCATGTCTTTATGTGCTCTTCAGATGAAAAAAATCCACACCATTCCCTCTGCATTACACATGGCATAGCCTACCACTTCACCCACCTGGGTCACCTGTTTGGCAACTGTACGCATTTGATTTTGCAATCCTTATTCTAGTCTTCAGAGCCCATTTGTCTCAGGGCTGGAGTCCTGGCTTCACCATTTGCTGTGTGATGCTGGACAAGTTACTTAACCTTTCTAGGCCTCAGTTTTCTCATCTGTAAGATAGGGATGAGAATAGTACCTAGCTCTTGAGGTTATTGTGAAAGTTAAATGTGGTAATCTCTGTGAAGTGCTTAGCATGTTATCTGGCACAGAGTAACAAAGGTTAGGTTGACCATTATTCCAATTAACCACTCTCTCCTTGGAAAGTGGTGTTCAGCAAAGTTTGAACAAGAAACCTGTTCTAGGGTCAGCCTAAATTGTCGTTGGAGCTTTGGCCATAGAAGCATGATTGTGTTGTAATAAGCACTAGAGTGTGTAGCTTTGACATTAGACTGACATGGTTTAAGTCAATCTCTAACATTATGGGAACCTTGGGCAAATATTTAACCTCTTTCTAAATTTCCTCATTGAAAAATGAACATGATAATTGGAGCTACTTCATAATATTGTGGTGAGGAGAAAGTGAGTTAATACATGTAAAATGTTTAGATGTTACCACTGTTGAAAACAATAAATCAAAGCATGCACTTGCTAAGTACATGTTTGCTTTGTCTCTGGGGAGATAAAAATAGAATATTTCAAATTAAATTGTCATGGAAAATTTGGGAAATTTGAGAGCTAAAACCTATGTCCATTTCTTACTTCTTCAATTCCCTGTAGTCTGGCTTCTTCTCCCTCCATCCCACTAAAATTGCACTTGCAAAGGCCAGTTATCAAGTCACATCCAATGGCCTTTATGCCTCATCTTCTAGGAGGCACAAGGATTTTAGGGGTCAACTAGCCTAACACTGTCAATTATTAAAAGAGGAAGCTGGGGCTGAGAGAAGTCCTGTGGATTTCCCACAGCTAATTTGTGATAGACCAAGAGTTATCCACTTTACTGGATTCTTTATTTACTAGGTGACAGTGGGTTTATATTTATTTTGACAAGTGGGTGGGGGGCTTGAAATCCAACATGAGGTTGGTATAAGAACTCCCTTCTCTCCTCTTTTCTCTTGCTGTTTGTCCCACAAACCTTGCTTCATAATGCCCTGGTCCAGTTGATATTTTAAGAGGGCTACTCTGTTTTCCCCAGTGGGACCTAGGCCCTGTGGCCCTTTATAGCATGAACTTATTTCCGGATGGGTAATGTCTTCCCTTCCCTGTGACTTGCTTCTAGGGGTCGTATTCCGATTTCCCTGCTGGCTCATTTGTTTCCTTGGGCTGGCTGCCTGTTTGGCGGTTTTTAGCAAGGGCTCTGACAGATGCCAGGAGGTGAGGGGAAGAGCTCTGACTGGACTCAGTCATTGGACATGCAGACTCGGTGATGGATGAGCCTTTTCCCCAGGGAGTTTCGGGTCAGGAGAAATCCAACTGATAAGTTTTTCCAGAATTGAGTAACCCAGAAACAGTGCCAGCAGGATCTTACCTCTTCTGTGGCTTTTTGTATTGATTTTAAAGGAAATTCTCAGCGGCAGTTCTATCTTACCAGAAACACAGTCACATTCATGATAGACTTAGATATATGTGACATGAATTGCTTTAGAAATAACACATGAGGAGAGGGGTGGGAGGAAGGAAGAAAAGGTCTTAGAAAAATCCCTATCAAAATATTTTCTTTCTTCTAAGTATTGAAAAGGCACAATATAACCCTTTCTTCTTGCAAATGATCTCATAGTTATTTACTGAGGGGAAATACCAAATGTTTATTATTTTTTTTTGAAGAAGCTTCTTGGGTCCTGATGATTCATGTCGATATCATTTCCCTCCCGACTGCAGAGGCTCTGAGACAAAGCTACACCCCCAAAGATGAGCCGGGTCAGAACAATTCCTGTCCTGAAGGAGAGTACGCGACCTTCTTTCTTCCCCCTTCACGGACGTCCTTGAGCGCGGGAGACGGATGTGTGCGAGTTTTTTAGTCCTCATGCAAAACAACCATCTAAACATAACAGATGACATCAGCTTGGGCTTTTCAATTCCTGGATGGCAGCGGCGTGTTAATCCAGCCTTCATCCTGGATTTCATAAACTAAAACAAGAGAGCCTGGCAGGAGGACAGCGCTGCTGCTGGGTTGAGGAAATTGATGACGGGGAAGCATGCGGGCAACCCAGCGTATAAAACTCATAAACGTGTAGGCAGAGGCTCAGCTACCACTTTGGACGGCAGCTTCCCACCAGCAAAGACCACACCGCGGGAGCCGAGCCCCGAGCCAGCTGGGAAACATGAGGAGCCTCCTGCTGCTGAGCACGCTCCTGGTACCTGTGCACCTGGCCACGGTCTGGAGCACCAAGTATGCGGTGGATTGCCCTGAACACTGTGACAGCACTGCGTGCAAAAGCAGCCTGCGCTGCAAGAGGACAGTGCTGGACGACTGTGGCTGCTGCCGGGTGTGCGCTGCGGGGCTGGGAGAAACCTGCTACCGCACAGTGTCAGGCATGGATGGCGTGAAGTGTGGCCCGGGGCTGAGGTGTCAGTTTTACAGTGAGGAGGATGATTTTGGTGACGAGTTTGGTATCTGCAAAGGTAAAGAGTGACCCTTTGCTTCTTCCTGCGCAGGGGCATGCTGAGAGCTTTAAGCCGGCTTGGGAGGTGAGGTGGGTTTGCTCCTGATGACTGAGAGGGAAAATGCAGGTGGGTTCTGCATCAGGCCTCCCCCGCCCCCGCAGGTGTTGTCATTGGTAGAGAGAAGAGGATAACTCTGCAAATAGCACCTGAAACCAGTGTGCAGGGAAGCACAGAAAGCAGGGCAGCATTTCACTCATTATGTTAAGAAAGAAAGCTGCAATGGAAAAGTGTGTTGCCTCCTTTTCTGGAAAACTTTAGAAACTTGACAGGTAATCTGTTATGGATGGTGCAGGTGCTCTCTTCACTGTAAGGCAGTGATTACAGAGGTCTCCACTAGATAACCTCTTGGAGCGGTTTCTAGCCCCCAGATTTAGTGATTCTTTGATATTGAAAGGATACACGGGATAAATTGCCTTTTTCAAGATCAAATATTTCTGATGAATACTAATGTATTTTATGGAATAGGGTGGGCTTAAGTCATTTGACAGAATAACTCACATTCTTCAAAGAGGGTCTCCTGAAGTATAAAACAAACCTCATTCCACTTTATAATGGTTTTGGTCTTGCAGATGGTGTGAGACAAACAAAAATAACAGTAAAGAAAAATAAAAATTAGAAGTCTATAAAGGATGAGGCTGGCCATCTTATGAAAAACTTCATCCAGTTGAAATTATAGCTAAATAATGTGGTCAAGCATTTATAAAATTTTCTTTAAACTTAGTGACTGTAGTTTAAAATGTCTAACATTTAAAAAAATTTTGAGTCAAAAGAATGATGTTTTAAAGATACTCCATATTTAGATACCTCAAGAGCTGTTATTAAGATGTAACATATGCTATAACCCTATTCATCAGTTTTACAATGCAAAGAGCTTTCAAAATTATAAAAAGGACTAGGGAATTTCTAGATAATTCTTATATTTTATGTATTTAGTACAATTGTATTCCTTTATAAATTATAATAATCTAGTATTAGGCTAATTTTATTAATTCTTTTAATTTTTTCACTTTTAATCTGTAAAACATACAAAAGGTTAGGAAACGAATTCTTGAACTATTAGGAGAACTTTACTTATGGCTTAGTTTATTTTTGTTTATAGCCAGTACAAGGTAGGATATTGAGGAAACATTTTCCTTGGTGAACACATACACATATATTTCAACTGAACAGGATCTGTATTTTCTGTAAATTAGAAGGCTTATCAGTTAAGAAAACAGTACTTCACATACGGAAATTAGGAAGGAAGTGGTTAACACAATCATACTTACGATATAGCAAGTATTTGCAATGGATTGCTTTTTCTCTTGGCATAAAAGTGGCTTTGTAAATGTGATTGTATATGTACAATTATATTTGAGTAAAGAAATAATCTGTAAGGCACCTGGAGTCTTTAGCACTCTAGTATTCTACTGAATAATCGAGGTAGATGTTAATAAGATACATTTTAAAAAAGATATTTAGAATTGCTCTTTTTGGCATCCTTTGGATTACTAATGAGTCTAGTTTTGAACATTTTTCTCTCTATTGGAGGTAATGCAACTATGTAAGCCTTAGCAACTCTAGATAGAGACATTATATTTTGCTGTAGGCAAACTCCCTCATTCAGCTTATAAACAGAATACCCACATGAAAACTGTATACTTCAGCTGCATATCCAGGTATTTTCTAAATATTCAGATGTTTGTCATTGTGTTGTCCAGATAACAATCAACCAGCCGACACATGTTTATTGAACATTTACTATACGCCCAGCACTGTCCAATACGTTAGGGGATACAATAGAAGTATAACTGGGGATTGGCTAAAGTTTTAGTTTTTAATTTCACTGCAGACACAGTCAAATTCCAATCCTGTGTGCTTCCTGTTGTAGGACTCTTCCTCCCAGCGGAGAGGATGGTGTTCAAAACCAGGCTTCTGTGTAATCTGAAGAAAGCCAAAAAGAGCAGTCTTAAATCTCTTTTTAAAATATATTCCATTAATATCTACCTTGATTATTCAGTGAAATACTAGATTACTAAAGACTCAGATGACTCACAACTTGTTTCTTTACCCATATGTGAGTGCACATTTTCAAGAATATTTTCATGCCAAGAGAATAAATATTCTACATCATCTATTCTGCTTTTAAAGGCTGGATAATCTATTGAGATACTATTTACATCATAAAAGCTATGCATTTTTAATAAATAATTTTGTCCTTTTTATCTCAATGTAGTACTTTTTAGTCTCAAAACATTGAAGCTCTAAAAACTTTCAGTTCCTGGCAGGTGTACAAACCCTCAGGGTGTATAAAACCCTCAGCTTTCTTGTTCACTTAGCATCTTGCTTCTTAGCTTTGAAGAGGGTTTTACTAGTGAACCCTCTTAACAACTGGGGAAGTTAGGTAAATCATACTGCTGTTTTGGCAGAGAAGCAACTCAGTAAGAGTTGGAGCAGATTGAGAATTGATCACTTCACGGAGAGCTGGGATGAAAGCTCTCTTAGCCCTGGTTAGTTTGAAGCCCTTTCCCATACATTTAAAACAGTGCTGTTTTGGCAGAGAAGCAACTCAGTAAGAGTTGGAGCAGATTGAGAATTGATCACTTCATGGAGAGCTGGGATGAAAGCTCTCTTAGCCCTGGTTAGTTTGAAGCCCTTTCCCATACATTTAAAACACAAAATTGTCTATGAATACAGTGGATTCAAAGACAGCATCACATCTTTTAAACGTGTTCAGA